GTGGCATAGTTTTTGACATGTTATTTTTATGTTACTTTGCACTAATTAGCATTAGCATTTTTTAAACAAGGTTTTATAAGAGAAATTTTGAGTGCGCACCCCCCCCCACCCCAACTGATGACCATCATGGTAAAACTGAAACTTCAAAATGTTATTTCACAAATCACAATTTTCTTTTCTTTTTTTTTTTTTTATCTCCATTTATGTATGAATAAAATTTTTATATGAATGTAAAAATTCCGCTCATATTCTCTTTCACATTTGGCAAGATGTGTACAAATATGCCATTACACATTTTTAGAAGATAACTATTGTTGAATTATTGCTGAAATATGAAGTTTCATTTAGCAATTGATGTGTACAGAAAACACTGTCAATCTTGTGTGGAAATAAAATTTAGAATTTTGCCAAACTGACCATGTGATTTCAGACAAAAGTAGCCGTTTCAACTCCCCAAACCAGCTTCCTAATATTCAATGATTGTAATTTTGAATTGATATGGAATATTGTTTCACCTTCCATTAAAAGTAAAAATACCAAAATAAAATAAATGGATATGGATAATGTTTGAAAATATGGTTGAAGTGATATGAAATAACCTTTCTTATTATGTGAATGTTAATCACAACACACAACTCTGAAAATATTCTAGAAGTCACAATGCTTTATTATAATGCTTTTAATATTTTCATCCTGTGTACTTTTTGCACTTGTATAGTATGTTGACCCTGAGAATGTCGATGTCAGACATGCCAACATTCTGGCCGATGGGAACGTTGGGATTGGGGATGGGAGTTAATGTTTCTGACTGTGGAGTAATTCCGAAGGCAGTCCTATAATTAGGAAGAATTGCAAGAGGCGATTAAACAGAATTTGTTTCTGTGCAACACAATTACACTTAGTACATTTGACTTGAGATTGTGTTTTTGTTCAGGCTTACCTTCCATAGTGCATGACAGAGGAGTAATCATATTTAGTGTTGAGATTGTAAGAGTCCTTCTTATATACGTCAATGTAATAATCTGTAGAAGAAACGCCAATAAGTTGAAAAGATTAAGCAATGAATCCGATTTCAATTAATCATCATTTGAGATTTTTACATTTTATGATGTTTTGCCAGTTGACTCTGATGTACTGGTCGCGGTCGCTTCGAGTGTGTTCATGGTAGAAACCAAGTGCATGCAGCAGTGACACCACCTGCATGTCTCCAATACGACCCAGCAAAGAGGAACAGCTAAAAATGTAAACAGTAAACGAAAGCAGAAAAAATAATGTATAGAAGGCAGTGAAATTTGTCTTATCATCCAGTCTGTGAATGCTTCTTTACTGTTAGCTAATGATAAGGAA